TGCTTCAAAGCTCTATGCACCCGAGATGGAAGTCCATATTAGACACCAGAATCTTAGGTTGTTTAGAGAGAGAAAGAAAGAAAAACAAGTAGAGAGAGATGGGTTCACTCTTATGGTCCCTAGAATTTCATAGAGAAAGGTGTGTTGAGAGTGTTGCAAAAGTCAATTTTCATATGGGAAGAATGACCCTTATTATAGAGCTCCTAGAGGCTACCTATTTACTTAATGAGTGATTATATGCACCACCAAGAGTCACAAGTAACATGCACACCCTTTAATCTCGACGGCTACTATCACAAGGCTATTTTTCTTCAATGGCTACATGACCGTTGGATGTCCCATACGAGCTATATTCACAAAAAGATATTAAACAACTCTCATTTTCTTCCCCGGTTAGATGACCGTTGCATGTCCCAAACGAGTTATGCTCACAAAAAGATATCGAGCCTAGCCCGCCGTACACGTGCTCAAGCGAGGGGTGCCTCACGCGTCGATGAAAATGTTCGAGATAGTTTCTCTCTAAAACTCAAAATTCGAGATAGTTTCTCTCTCTGAAAAATGAGATATTTCTCTCTCTAAATTTTTTTTGACAATTTCTCTTTCGAAAATTTATTATAATCTCTCTAAAAATTTAAGAATACTTTCTCTCTCTAAAATTTAATATTTTATATAGTTTCTCTCTCTAAAATTAAAATACGAGATTGTATCTCTCTCTAATAGTTTTGAAATAGTTTCTCTCTCTAAAAAATTGAGATAGTTTCTCTCTCTAAAAATTTGCATGTACTTTCTCTATCTAAAATATGATAGTTTCTCTCTAAAACTTAAAATTTGAGATTGTTTCTCTCTCTAAAACTTTAATATACTTTCTCTTTCTAAATATTTAACATACTTTCTATCTAAAAATTTTAATATACTTTCTCTCTAAAAGTTAAAATTTGAGATAGTTTCTCTATTTAAAAAATTTAGGTACTTTCTCTATCTAAATTTTTTTTCTCTCTTTAAAAAATTTAGGTATTTTCTCTCTCTAAAATTTTCGTACCCATGAAATGTTCCCTATGTTTTGGGTCAAGGGAGCGGGTGAGTGAAATCCATGGCCTTAGAAATGCACAAAAAACAGGTTTTAGTGTGGAAATGAAATCATGGAAAAGTAAGCCTTATTTCTATGATTTTGATGTTCCTGATTTTAAGTATCCTTGTCATTAAGCAATCCAAAAGGTGGATTTTGGTAAAATCCAAGATATTAGAAATCTATGCCTTAAACCCTATGTACCCAAACAGGCCCTCAATGTCCATGACTAAATGTAGAACTAAAAGATGGGTTGCCTGTGCCTAACATTGAGAAAAATCTTATTTCTATTAGTCAATTTACTGAGACTAACTAGCTCTCGTATTTTTTAATTCACATTGCATAAATTTGTGATCAAGGATCAAAAGACATGAATTTACTGAGACTAACTAACTCTCGTATTTTTTAATTCACATTGCATAAATTCGTGATTAAGGATCAGAAGACATGAATGATAATGGCAACCGGGAGTAGGAAGTGCTGCTTGTATGCCTTTTGCAGAAAGGAGAACAAGTGTTCGCAGCTTCCGAGTCATGGAACTCGGCCATCTATAGTTAAAAACATTAAATTTTTTATATTTTAAAGTTGTGTTCAAAAAATTGACCCGACCAAAGTACTCGTTTTTTTGGACAAGTTCATTGTTATAAATAGATGGAATAGTTGTCAAATGGAACATAGTTGTCGTCTCCCTTTTCCTACTAATGAAAAGAAGTGTGCTAGCCCTTTGTTTAAAATTCACTATGATCTTTGGCGTTATTATGTGAATTTTGTGGATGATTGTACTCGTCTCACTTGATTTTATCCTTTGAAAATAAAATTTGAATTTTTCAGGTGCTTTTTGAGTTTCCAAAGAACGGTTGAGATTCATTTGAAAAGAAAAATTAAGATATTACAATGTGATGGAGGAGAAGAATTTTCCTCCACAAACGTTTTAGTCCATTTGAATATCTTTGGTATTCATTGCCAAATTTCATGTGCCTACACACCAAAACGAAATGGAGTGGTTGAACAAACATATCGACATATTGTTAAATTGGGTGTCCCTATACACCAAAACAAAATAGAGTGGCTGAACGAAAATATCGACATATTGTTAAATTGGGTCTAACCATGATGGTCAAAAGTGGGGGTACCCAAGCATTTATGGGTTGAGGCTTTTGCTATTGCAGTTTATTTAGTTAAGGAAAAAGTTCATAAAAGGTTGCAACTTTAAAAGATGCACCTCAAAAATCCATCTAGAAAGGTTGTTTTAATGTTGAAAACCTTCTAATTGATCATCTCGACATGTATGAATATGAAAAAAAAAAAAATTGAGTCCTAAAAATTGTACATCTTGCAACACATTATCTGAATCATCCATTTTCAAGATTTTCATATGTTTATAGATCTACTTGATTTTAACCATTATTAGAGTTTAAAATTTTATAATTAGATATAAAAATAGACTTTAGATAATCCTAAAAAAATTTAACACCTAAATTACATATTATGATAAAATTTGGACTTGCGCTTTAATTGGATTGTTTAAAGTTACAACCTTATAGAAACCACACTCTTTAATTAATGGGTGCGGTTTCTATAAGGTTGCAACCTTAAACGATCCAATTAAGGCATACCTCCAAATTTTATCATAACATATAATTTTGTTGGCAAAAATTCTTAGGATTATCTTAAAATCTATTTTCATATCTAATTAGAAAATTTTAAACTCCAAAAATAGTTAAAATTAAGGAGATCTATAAACATATGAAAATCTTCAAAATGGACGGTCTAGATAATGTGTTGCAAGATGCACCATTTTTTAGACTCAAAAACTTTTTTTTATATATATATTCATACATCTTGATGTCGAGATGTATAAATAGAGGGTTTTTCAACATTAAAAGAACCTTTCTTATAGATTTTTGAGGTGCATATATAATTCTACATTTTAAACCTTATATAAACTTTTCCGGTAGTTAATATACTGCTTATAAACTTTTCCCTTAGTTAATAGACTGCTTATAAATATGTCCCTTTTATGGCTCTTCAACCATGAAACTTCCGTGCTCTTCATTATGGCCTTGTTTACTCTTAATTGCTCGCATATTTGAGAGCCCCAAGCTATTCGGTATGCATTAAATAGTCGTCATTGGTAAGGGTGGCAATAGACCCGGACCTAACTTGGGACCTAAGGTATAGACCCCATCGGGTCTGGGTATAGGACCAAAAATTGAACCTGACAGATTAGGTTTAAGTCCGAATTTTGGACCCAAACAATATTTGGGTCTGGGTCTAGGTCCGTAATATTTTTTTATTCTCAATATATGAAACATATTAAAATATTGATAAATAAATAAATATTTTTTAATTTTTTGATCAGGTCCGATAGGGTGTGGGTCTAGGTCCTAAACTATATTTTTGGATCTAGGTCTTGTGAAATCTAGATCTGAATCCGACCCGACCCAACCCATTGCCTCTCTGCGAGCAGCTATGAAAGAAGAGATCTTAACTTTGCATCACAATGACACCTAAGATCTAATTCCTCGTGATCCTAATATGAGTGTTTTTGGATCAAGATAGGTGTTCAAAACAAAGATGGAAGCCGACGGTTATATTGAAAGGTTTAAAGCAAGACTGTGACAGAGGATTATAGCCAAATGGATGGTACTGATTTCGATGAAACTTATAGCCCTATTAGTGAACCTACTATGAAATGCTCATGTCTGTATCAATGATTTAAAAAATAGTTAGTAGGGAATCGTCCAGTCAGCCTGACGCCCAAAATTGGTCAGCCCGTTATGTTCTACGTATATATAAGAAAATGATCGCGTTTAGAAGGAAACATGCAGTTTTACATAGTGAAACGACGAATCTTTACAATAAAATAACAATCCAGACCGTTGATTTACCGATTTGAACCGGTTTTTTACCAATTTACTATTTTTTCATGTGGTTTTCGTTCGATTCACTATTTTTTTCCACACAATAAACTACCAATTCACCGATTCGAACCAATTTTTGGGTGCCTGATCTAGGTCACCGATCCGTTTCTTAAATCACTTGACCGTATGCATTTGAGGCTTCTTTAATACTTTGTTTTTCTAGCGACGGTTGCAAGCAGCCTCCTATCTCCGGACACAGGTGTGCCACTTGTACTATTCTGATGACGCCAATTCTTGATTTTTTCACAAGCGAACATCCCTTCTTTCGTCGCAAGCCGGTCTACCTCCCAATCAAATTAATGTTTTATTTAGTCAAATAAAGGCTGCTTTCATTTCCTAACCTAATAATATCGCTTTTTAAAATAATGGTTATTTTCAAATGGAAAAAATTTATAAAAGGTTGTAACTTTAAATTATAGAATTAAAGGTACACCTCAAAAATCTTTCATAGAAGGTTGTTTAGACGTTATTAAATCTTCTAATAAATCATCTCGACATCGAGATGTATGAATATGAAAAGATAAAATATTTTGAGTCCACTAAATAGTGTATTTTGTAACGTATTATTTAGACACTCCATTTTAAAAAAATTTGTGTGTTTATAGATCTATTTGATTTGAATCATTTTTAAAATATAAAATTTTATAATTATAAAAATAAATTTTTAAACCATTTTAATAATTTTTTATATCAAAAATACATTTATGATAAAATTATGAGATACGCTTTGATTGAATTGTTTACGGTTGCAACCTTATGCAAAACTACACCTTTCCAAATTTCCAATCATATAAGCATTTCATTCTTCATTAGTCATATTCTCAATCTTGAGGACATTACCGTAATTCTAGGCTTTGAATGGGGTTACTTTCAAAACAGATTTGTAAAGAGTCTTCTCTGACCTACACAATTAGTTCACTTTAGCCTTTGATCCCCACAAATAAGATCCCGCCACGTGTCGCAGCCATGCTCTTAAAAACAGAGAGGACAGAGACAGTCGAGGAGAGAGAGAAAGGGGAATAAGAGAAGAGAGAGAAGAAGCAAAAGAGAGAGAAGTAGAGAGAGAGAGAGAGAGAGAGGAGTTACCTGGAATGAGGAGAAAAGGGAAGGTCTCGCATTTTTTTAGGGTTCTTTTGAGCTCCACAATAAAGTGGAGATGGCTTTCAGTGAATTGTTCTTTTGATCGTCATGCGTTGTGATCTCGACGAAATTTCTCCTTTTTCGCGGGATCTCTGAAAAGTCATGGTAGTCGGGGTAGAAGCATTGATTCCACAAAGGGAATATTGTTTCTCTCTCTAAACTGTCTCTCGCTTTCTGCATTTATTGAAGTTCTTGGCTCTAAGCTCGATTTTAGAGAGAGAAATGTATATTGTTCCGCCTCCTAAGTGTTCTGATGCAAGAGGGTCTGGGAACATGGCAGCTCCACGGATTTATCAGACATGGAAAGGGAGCAATGTGAGTTAAGACTCTCTTTTTTATCTTCTACATATACTTGTATTCATGATTTAGGGTTAGTTTATTCAAGTGATTTAATCTCTTTATCTTCTTCTAATAGTGTATTATTCTTGATGAGCAAGTTTTGTTTTAGTTTTGTGATCCTCTTTTATGATGGGGTTTGATCCAAGGATTTGGAAATGGGAATCTTTGCTTTCTTTTGGGTATTTTAGCTTGGATTTGAACCAATAGCTTGGTGGTTTAGTGCTCTGATATCGGTTATGATCAACTTTTGAGGGAAATCAATTCCCTAGCTCGATAAGTTTTGCCATTTCAAACCCTTTTCTTCTTGGACCTTGCAGTGATTGAGTTGAACCTGTTGGTTCAATATTATTTGTTTGGAGAAGCTGTTATTTCTATTGTTGGAGTCATTGCTTGCTGAATTTTGTGGACTTTCTGTATCAATTCATGTTCGGATTGAGCTTGTTCATCATAAAATCTGAGAAAGTTCTTTGCCTCTTTGGTTATCGTTGGATCATCGATACCTTTCCATTGTTCTCTTACTGTACCAATACTAACTGTAAATTTTGTGAGGTATGGAATTGGTTCATGATTGGATGTTCTTAATTGTAGTTTCATTGTTCTTTTTATCAATTGAAGCCCTAATGGTACTTCATTCTTCATTGATTTGGATTAACCCACATGTTTGAAGTGATCCTGAATTAGCAGCTATCAAAGAAAAAGAGCTGATCCTGTTATAGCATTTATTGGTTATTTATTTGAGTTGCAAAAGTCGATGGATTATGGTGAATATTTATTTAAGGAAAGGGGCAAACTTCCCATTCATAAAAGTTATGGGAATGGGTCTTTCTTATTGCTTGTATTTGCATTATAAGATTTGGTGTAAATAGGGAGAAATTTCAGAATTCGTTCTTGCACTCTCTTGATTTTGGTAGCATCCTTCACTGGAAAAGGATGATGTTCTTGTTTTGACATTTTTGATGTCCATTAGATGATGTGAGGTTCAATTTCCAAACTTATTAGTACTTGGTTATTTCTAATGGGTTCCTTTTGGCTCGAAAACTTCCCTCTTTGGAGGTTTTAGTCTCTGGGATTTATTTGCAAGGTAAGGAATGACATGATCTTTATAGGAATATTTTTGCAATATAATGAGATACTTGGATTCTAATTTGAGAGGATTTCTGCGAGATCAGAGTTCTGGACGTTGTCAGTGACTGGAGGTTTGTAGTGGACGGTCTTACACTTATCAGTTCTTTCATCCCATGCCTTTTTGTGTTCCCCCCCAAAGGCTACATTGAACTTAACTTTGATAATATCTGCTTTGGCAACTTGGTCCTTCACAAATATTGAGGCCAAGGCCCTTCCAATCAACCTTAGGCTATATTCTTTTGTCCTGTAGGGGACTGTTGATGGTTGAGAAGGACTTCCTTAGTTTTGTTTGGTAGTTTGCAAAGAGACATCATTCCTTTGTAGACTAGCGGATGTCATGAAGAATGTCCACATTCCTAGCATTAGTCTGTTGGTGTCCTTTTTCCATATCTTTAGCCTCATAGAGAAGTGAAGTGGTTGATTTTCTTGCTAGATCATGGGTTGGTAAAGATTCTCTATAATGGAGCTCTATACGTCCTTGTTTTAATTCATCAATTTTGTTTTTTATCTTCTTTGTGCACCTTGTTGTATTTATCTTTATTTGAAGAAAGGTAGTAATAATAAAGGACTGTAAGTCATCGTTCATCCCTAGTGCCAAAATATCTCTTCTTGTATCAAGAATATGGGATGGACTGAAGGTGATAGTGGAGTGTTTTGGGGACAATGCCTAAAATTTTGAATTGTGGACAAATTATTGGTTACTATTTGCTTCCCCTGATTAGTATTCCTTTCATGAAAACGGAAACTTGTGAATTTCAGCTAATATCTGACTTCAAATTTCGTAGAGGATTGATAAAGATCTATTCTCAGCCAATTTACCAAAATTAAATCCAAAAATATGCTTCTGATGACTAGCATTTGGATGCAGAACTTCTGATATATTGTAGTCTTGGCCAGGCACAGAAACAAATTCTTGTGAAAAAGATTCGAAATTCCCAAATATTCTCTAGAGTGTTTTCGAAGATAGCTGGTTTATTCTTTTGTGTATATGGACCAAGTTTTTTGAGTGTCACACAAAATGTCCCATTGAATTAAGGTCTTCACTTTCCGAACCTTTAGTACTTTCCTCTCACTTTTATATGTTGTATTCCTGTGGATTTAACTGTTGATTCCCTTTGTTGGGTTTAACCTTGTGGTTATGATACATAGTGATATTAAGAACTCATTTTGGCTCCTCGGATGAGTAAACATGCAAATACTTGCTAGACAATGTTTGACGAAATGTTATATTTATTGCATTTGGGAGTCTGAAGCTATGCTTGTAAACCATCCTTTTAGTTGTAGAAATATATGGTCAATGGCCGGCAATTGGTGGATTGAATGTTCCTTACTAGGTTTATTAGTTTTAGATTTGTTGACTTGTTTTCACTTTGCATGGTTCAATAATCCTTTAAGGAGATTTAACCGAAATATTTCTTCATACCAGGCATCTAAGATGTAAGGTTTTCTAATGTTACAAAAAATTCAAATTCTTTTGCTCATTTCGTTGCTTTTAATACTATTCTGCAAATGCATTTGTATTTGTCTTTCCAGCATGTGATTGTCAATCAAATGGTTCTCTCTTTCATATGTTTCGTTGTTGTTACCATTTGGTTGATCCCTCATACCTATTGATGGGCCTTTTAGATACCAGGTCATACGTTACTGGTGCCTTTTGAATGTCAGCTGTCTTACATCTCTGATTTATCGTATTCAAATATGTCTCTCTTTTACAGGTATTTTTTCTTCAAGGAAGGTTTATATTTGGACCAGATTACAGATCCTTGCTGCTAACCATATTTCTTATAGCTGCCCCTGTCATAGTTTTCTGTGTATTTGTAGCAAGAAAACTAATGGATGATTTCTCTCATCACCTTGGAATATCTATAATGGTGATTGTTGTAGCCTACACAGTATACGTGAGTTTCCTACCGACTCTTACTCTTTTAGAATTATCAATTATTTTTCGTTGGGCTCTAGTCACACACAAATGAGATTTCCCTAATCTTCTGGGAATATTATAGAGGTGATTATTCATTAAAAAATTTGATAATGGTGATTTCCTGGTGTTCTAATTATATTTTGGTTTTTTCTATCAGTGTTTGTTGGTTTAAGTATCATTAGCTTTTGTAGGGGCTTCATAAAACATACATTTCTAGATAGCCATGCAAGTATATGTGCGTGTGCGCACTGAGCTTTTACATTGCAAGTAGCCTTTGAAGTTTGAACTTTGGACTTAAAATTTATGAATATTAAAAAACATATTGACTTTGAACTTTGGACTTAAAATTTATGAATATTAAAAACATATTGACTTTGAGGCTTTGATGCTTATATTTGCCAGTTTGCACTCATTGTAGCATGATTTTTGCCTCAACAATGCAAGGATAAACTTAAAATAGTAAAACCTTCACGTATTGTGTCCATCAGGTGGATATCATTGTCTTGATAAGCATAACAGGTGGATTTTTAATTCTTCTTCTTTTTGGGATTAGCAAGACTTGTAAATTTTCAAAAAAGTGGGAGATGTTAATTACACTGCCTTTATTTCCTAATACTATTTTAGAAGCATTTGCTATATGAAGTCCTACTCCTCCCCCATTCACTCTTTGTCTATCCGTAGCTGCTTATTCGTTGTGATTAGGTAAGTCAAGGGTAAGTATAATCTGATTCAGTCACTATGGAGGTAAATAAGGTAAGTAATGGATGCTATTGGGAAATGAGAGTGGATACTTATTCATCTAAAAGAAGCATTTATTGATGATATTGAATATGAAAACCATATCAAATATAACCTTGCAAACATTATAGATTGATTCTTTTTCATCTTACATGCTGGAATCTTACAAAATTCACATTGAAGAAATTTCTTTTAAGAGAACGTTTTGATATTAATCATGTACCATGCTCATCCACAAAAATGCGAAGTCAAATGTTTTCTTTCTAAATGTTAGGGTAAGAACTGTAACATTCAAAAATTGAAAGATAAAGGAATATTGCCTGCCAAGGAAACCCTGGTTATCAAAACCAAAAAAGGATTTTCGAAACCAAAAAGTGTGTCCGGCACATATACGCACTTCCCTTGATTCTGATCATTTTCTGAAAGTTGGCAATGCTTTTGCTTTTCTTGTAAAAAGTTTACACAGTTTTATTACCAATAAAAAGAAAGAGTTGCGCAGTTTTGCTCATTTCAACATTGTCCGAGACATCATGGGAAATTCTTAAAAGTGAGAACTGTATTGTTAGAAGTGACTTCAATGGTTTACATAAATTAAAAAAAAAGGAAAGAAGCAGGGTGGCTTTTTAAGCACGTTTCATTTAAACACATTCTTACTGTCTTTTGATATTCCTAAAAAGATAAAAATGATATATTGATTGCCAATAAAAAGACAGTAAGTTATGGATTTCACCTAATTGAGCGGTAAAGAAACCCACAGAAATGGTCTCTGGTTGTATCCAATTCATATCTCATTGGGGAACAAAAAGTGAAGAATGGTACTGGAAAGAAGGAAAAAAAAAGAATGAAGACTGATGGCCTGGGAGGAGGTGATGGAGAGGCAATGAGGCATACAGGATAAGAGATGATTCTAAATTGAATTTTAGTAATTGAAAAGAGAAGTTAAGCTTGTAGAACTTATGGTGACAAGGAGGAGATGATATGGGAGATGTGTAGGGGAAGATAATTATGTGGAATGAGGAGAAGGCTGTGAACAATGTGGATCTACAGGGGTACAGATTGAAAGGGTTTTTTTGGGCCCGGCCGGCAAGAAGGGGGGGGGGGGGTTTGGGTTGTTGCGGGGTGTCATATAGAAGGATATGTGCGCCTTCATGCATATGTTCATATACTCGTGTGTGTTACGGCTAATACCAGTCTCCTAAAAAATTACTAGCTTTGCTTGAAGAACTCCTATGTTGTCCAGGCAAGGACTGGTTTTTCGTTTTGCCATAGTTTCAAAGATTGCATCCCTTTATTCACATTTGGATTCACACATTTGCCAAATCAATGTTCTCCATTCGTATTGAAGCCTGCATTTCTTGTAGGTGTATTTCTCTGTGTAGTTGATCACATTTCATCAGTGCTCCTATCAGAGCTCCTATCAGAGACAAAGGTGGAGTCTTGGAGAAGTCTGATCAACCTCCCAAGGGTTTTGGGTTTTTTCTTGTTGACCTTCAAGGAGAAGCTGAAAGCGATAAAACTCAAATTCAATCGGTTTGTAAGCAATACCTGTTTGTCAACAAATAGAAATTATTTACGCAAAATTTTGTGCGAAGATGGTATTTGCTTCCTTTGAAACGACCATCCAGGAGATGAACTACAGAATATCTGCAACATTGGCAATACATGCCAATATATTGATATCTACATACGGCACTGCTGCTAGTTTATGACAAATCTCAATGGTGGAATTTTGGCTCATGTGTGCCAAGCAATTGAATGTCAGTTTTGTCTTCCCAGATGTTGATCCGCAAAACCACATTTTAATATTTTATAGTGCCAATAGATTATATATTCCTGCAGGAGTATACTGCCCATTTACTCTCTAGGGTTAAACCCCATCTACGATTAATTTTAGGACCTGAATTATGGGGATGTAATCTCTTCAACACATAGACTAACCTCGATAAAAATAAAAATAAAAAATCCCAATTGCACCCTCTATGCACTTGAAAAAAGTAGTGTCTCAAGATTGAATAGATATCTTCCAATTGTTAGAGGGTGAGATCTCAGTGTTAGAAAACTCAAAATTCAAATTTTTCCTTTTTGACAATGATCATCTCATATTTTTAGGTGGTTCCCAAAATATTAGATCGAAAAAGTCCTCCCAAGTAGGTCTTCTAACCAATCCTCCTGCAGGAGCATAGTATCTACACTCTTTTATAGTACTGTATTTCAATTCTCAAATTGAAATATATTTTCAATTATGAAAGAAGTAATACTGGTTATGATCAGCCTGTGATGATGTTTACAAATTTGTGGATAATCAGATATATAAATGTTTATCTTCGATGCCGTACGTGTGAGTCTTGTGATTTTACTGAAAATTTGGATTCATATCTCGAGCAATCAAAAGAGATATTTTGTTCTATTAGATGCAGTATGCTACCTTTTGCTATGGATATTTTTTACAAAATATATCTTGTTTTTGGGGTTCTTGAAATTCTTAATGTTTCTCACTACTCAGGTCTTATCTCTTCTTCTTCTCACATCTGGTAGAGATCCTGGCATTATCCCTCGAAATGCCCATCCCCCAGAACCAGAAGGCTTTGATGGAAGTATAGAAGTTGGGGGTGGCCAAACTCCTCAATTGCGCTTACCTCGAATGAAAGATGTGGTTGTGAATGGGATCAGTGTGAAGATCAAGTACTGTGATACTTGCATGCTATACCGACCCCCTCGTTGTTCCCACTGTTCTATCTGCAATAACTGCGTTGAACGATTTGACCACCATTGCCCTTGGGTTGGCCAATGCATTGGGAAGGTAAGGTTGAGCTTGTGCATATGCATGTCAGTGTAAAAGAGTCTTATGAGTTTGTTGAGCATGCACCGGTTTGGGGCGTAGATTCTTGGTCATGTGCATGTATTTGAGTGTTATGAATAGGTGGAAGCATGTATTGATTTGGAATGTTGTATTTTCTAGCAATCTATGGTGGCTGATTGTGACTACAAGAAGTATTTTCATGACTATACTATTGCTATAAGTTTCAGTACTATGTATTTAAGCACCAAATATTTTGTGCTTTGCCGTAAGTTCCACTTTTGATGTTACTTTTGATAGTCTTAATGGCTGGAATGATGAATTTCTTGTTGCGGAAGTATGTTATAATTAATATGGTCGTGATAGGAGCATGGTTATAGGGGTTATCGATGTCCCATCAATATTTTACAGTGATGGAGGGTGAGTGGCTCCCACTGCACATGACATTAGTTCAATCTTCACCCCACTCTTCCTCCACTGACCAATCCATTTATAGAATGACAAATTTATAATAATCTTTACGACTTTTTATCATGACCATATGAATCACACTTTTCCTTCCTATTTTCCCTTTCAAGACCATTATGAAATACCCTTTTAACCTTTTTGTTCTCTTCTGCTTACCTGCTTCTCTTTATAAAATGACTATACTCATGATTAGGTTAAAAATGGTGTGACCTCCATTAGTCTTTTTGGATACATAGATCTGTTTTCCATTTAATCATCTCCTCAGTTCTCGGGAATTTCTCAGCTGGGTGATTTCTTGGGAAACATTAAAAAACTAGCTTTTCTTGGGGAATTCACAGGGTTATTATAGAAAAGGGGAAAAAAATATAACGATAGGCTTAAAAATTTAGAAACTTCAAAACAAGAAAGGATTTGTTTTACAAAGATTTGTCTCTTTACATTTATCAAATTCAGTTTTTGAGACATCAGTGTTTTTATAAATTTATAACTTGTTATTTTCTTGTTAAAAAAATACTAGAAAAGCTATGGGACGAATTTCTTCATATTAATTTTTTTTTTTGGGGAGGGGGGTGGTGGGGGATGTGGTATTTTCATGAAATTGTAAGATGAGATTTTCATTCTGTAATAAATAATGGCCAAAGAACCCCTAATGATAAATTATGTACGAAATTGCTTCACTCTTTCTTAGTATGACTACTGTACCCTTCTAACTATAGGATACCATAAGCTGCTGCAAGCATATTCTTTTCTCACTCGTTTCTGTCATTTGTAATGCTATCTATACTTTTTTTTTTATACTGTCATTATTCGTGTCATATGGATGCAGCGAAATTACCGGTTCTTCTTCATGTTTGTGTTCTCAACAACTCTACTATGCATATACGTATTTGCATTCTGTTGTCTATATATTAAGAGGATCATGGATTTTGAGAATACCTCAGTCTGGAAAGCTTTGATCAAGACCCCAGCTTCAATCGTTCTGATTATATATACTTTTATCTCCGTCTGGTTCGTGGGGGGTCTCACAGTCTTTCATCTCTATCTCATCAGCACAAACCAGGTGAGTGCAGCTTTCCAGCTTTCATGCCCTTCAAATTTTCTTCTGATTTCAATATCTTAAAAATGAAGGCACAGCTAAGGTCCTGATCTTTATCATACTCTTTCAAAAGAAGTTGCATCACTGTCATTTATCTAATACCAGAATATTCCCCTTCTTCTGAGAGATTTATGAATTTACATTTCTTCTTTCAAGGACTGACCAAGCATCATCCTACCCTTTAAGATATATGTGTGTGCGAGAGAGAGAGAGAGAGAGAGAGAGAGAGAGAGAGAGAGAGAGAGAGAGAGAGAG